GGGCTTAGGGTTTAGGGATATGGGACCGCTGTAAGGTTTAGCCGCGGATTATGGGATCAATTGTTGGGTGATGCACCGGGGGTACGTGTGAGAAACTTTCAAATGTTTTGGAGGGGAGGCCTTTGCGCATATCCGGCCCCAGGCCTGGCTACAAGTCCTTGGGGTGGATGCGTTGATCACTTGTTCCTGAAATCTAGGGTCCGCCGGTCCACCCAAATAGTGCGAGAAAGCTGGTTTTGCAATCTGTAAGTTCATTGCCTTAAGCGTGGTGATATTCCTCACAGCTCGCTTGCAAGCGTGAGCGCAAGATAAGGCATTGACTTAGAGTTACCTACCTGAAGAAGAGTATTCAGTTTATCTGTGGTCCAGAAACACAGGAAGCGTTTCACCTCACAAAAAGAAGCAGAAGATCTTAGAGCAAGTGACATGCCACCTCGTGAACTTCACCCGCCCGACGAAATCTGAGGTTACTTTAGAACACGTACTGGCCTTCTGTTCTGAGAAACTCCCATGTGCCTTGCAGTCGAGGATGTCGGTGGCTTTCTGGAATTTGGGCTGCCAGGCGGGGCACCATTTTTCTATATCAGGGTTATATTGGGGTTCTATAGGGGTTGTATAGCGGTTGATGGAAAAGAAAATGGAAACTACTATTCAGATTTTAGGATTTAGGGCTCGTAAGTTCTTATGAGAAGTAGGACTCACCTATAATACCCAAGAAGGTGAACTTGAGTCCATGGATAGATGGGAGCCTAGATCTGTAGGGAAGTCTATGTTGAGATAGGCCCACACCCAGAAATAGTGCGACAATCTGAGTTTAGAGGGGCCCTCACAAGATCATTATCACCTGTGGTTGCTAACCAGACCTTCTAAGGGATCAAAGGCAGAACCCTGCAAAAGATGAGCCCACGACCACACTGGGGAAATTGTGAGACTATCAAGGGGCTCAATTTTGTGGATCCTTTCCAGGTTCTGGGCTTTCTGAGCACCCCTGACCAGTAAACCCTAGAAGGGAGCCTGGAAGATCAAAAGCTTAAGTGGTTCAATAGAGATCAACAAGCGTCGGTACATGTAATCATCTCCCTTGCTAATAAAACTCACCACCCCTGAAAAAGGAACAGCCTCTTTCCATGTAGGCAGCATCAGAATGAGAACAGGTATTAGGGTGTGGGAGGCTTCACTTTTCGAGGAGGGGAGTAGAGTTCACAGTATAGTTCTCAAGCAAAGCCACGACGTACGGTGTATTGCCACACAGTAGTCAAGGGTTTTTGCTCACTAGGGGTTAGTAGAGCATGAGGGAATGTGATCCCTATATAAGCCATATAAGTAGAATAGATTCCATCATTTCCTACTAGCCCTAATTCCTAAATCCTAAACAACAAGGCCAAAAATATTCCCTTATTCCCTACTAACCCCCAGTGAGTTTGGTGTTCATTTTTTTTCCTTGGGTTCAGGCTGAGGGACCCCAAACTCCTTGATTCAGACGAAGAATTTGGATGCTAGGGGTCCGAGATCAGACATGCCCACGATTAAGGCTTGTGGAGTTTTAGGCTTCATCGGGCAAGGTGATTTGCCTTCTTGCCCTTACAAGGCTTCCCGCAAAGACAGGGGGCTTCAAACCCCTAAACCTCGCCGAGCCTGAAGGAAATCCAGGGTTTATAATGCATAGAAATAAGGGCAAACATGGAGAATAAGATGGAACACGACATTGACCTAGCATTTGGGTAGTCCCCAAAACCAGGGTCCAATTTTGGTGCTCCTAAATACTAGGTGCCGTAATATAATCTATAACCAAGAGGGCCCACAGTTTTGAGAACAACCCATTTGTCCGACCAGAAAAAGCCACCCTTAGCCCAGCCTCCGTCTGACCGGTTGCCGAGGCATGCCATGAGTTCGACTCTTCCGATTGTGACTGTGAGTGCTGTGAACCGTGTTGCGACAGCGACTAGTGGGTGTGGAGGCTTGCTTGGAGCCCAAAACCCCAAAGGCTGCAAAACCTTAAACCCTAAACCCTAAACCCTAAATCCTAAACCCCGTATATATACATATATATGTATCCCTTTATCCATATATATATATATATATGTACATATATCCCTATCATCAACCCCCAAACTTCAAGAGTTCGGCCCCCCAAATGTTAGGCATCTCTCAACTCATGAGACCCCGTTTTCGAGAAGCGCCCCCTACTTACGCTGGACTCGGGCCCAAATCCAAACACCAAATCCTAAGCCCTAAACCTTGGGTCCGGCCCCCCCCCCCCAAAGTACCAGCCTACAACAGGGGTAATCTAGATATTATTCAACTGTTGCTGGGTGGGACCAACCTAAACCCAACAGCCTTTAAGTATTTACAATCCCCACAGAGCCGCCAAAAGGCCTTCAGGGCCCACCAGCTTTTGGGTATTTTCTGTTGGAATTACTCGGGACCAAATGGCAAGTCTACGGCTTGTAGATCTTTATGGGACATAGTTGCCACATAGCCCAAAATTTAGGATTGAGAGTTTAGGGCTTAGGGCTTAATTAAGGTTTAGGATTTAGGATTTACCTTATACACGGACAGTATGGGTACTGGTAGGTATATCAATGTTGATGAAAGTGCTACGCTTGCTAGGGACTGTTCCAGCGTGGGGGCCGAACCCATACTGGGTTTAGGCTGTGGGGCCGGGCCCCTGATAAGCTTCTCATATATCGCTTTGAGGATATGATTTCGTCTCATCAACAAGACCTCCTTCATTAGTATGTTCAATGGGGATGCTCTAGTCGTCAACAAAGGACGGCTACATCTCCTTAACCCTGTGTGGTCGTATAGTTTTCTATGAGCAGAATGAAGCCTTATTGGGTTCAATCTCCAAAAACCACAATTCCCACAACTCCCCCCAAAATCCTTCTGCGCTCCACATCTGCAGATCCTGAGAGCGCAAAGTGCGCAAAGTCGCACTCCGAGCCATTCTTTGAAGAAAAATGCCGCGCTGTTTGAGGTTGTAGGTTTAGGGTTTAGGGGGGTTAATTCGTCTGTTCAAAGCAGTGTTGAATCCTAAGCCCTGAGCCCTAATCCCTGACGGATCGTAGCAGAGACAAAGGAACTATAGCTGGTTTCTTATTCTCCGCCTCGACGGACACATTTGGCCAGTCTTGAAATGGCCGTGATGCATATCGTCAAAGAGCTCCCTTGGGCTTACTACCGAAGCAGGGTAAGGAGTTAGAATCCATAGGTTTAGGATTTAGTTTTCGGGGGATACGCCTTTCTGCAACATCAGGTTGTACGGCATGCATTCGCTCTTAGCACATCACCTGCTTATTCCGGGGCCACCTTTGGTCCGCATATCATCCCCAGTGCATACCTAGGATCCCTGACAGTGCTCCTCATGTGCAGTATTTCTGATGTTGCAGCTGTTGCTTTGGCCAATGGAGAACTGGTTTTGATGTTGGATAGCCCGCTCCTCTTCGCCACCAAGGTTATCTACCCCAAACGTTGAGTATTCCCTTTGCAAAGTCAAAGTGCTGTCTTCGTTGAAGTTGGTGTGTAATCACTTAGGTGGACCCCCCAACCGACCCCCTAATAGTGACTATAAGGGGTAATAGTAACTATGTAAGGGTCCTCTGATATTCCCAGCATACCACTATTACAGGGCTGCGGGGTCCACCCAAGTAATAAGCTCTGAGCCAGGCTAGCCGAGAAGCATGGTGCATAAGCTATAGTCTAAACTGCTTCAGGGAGGGTTATGTAGAATTTTGTATAGGGATTTCCACGGGGGCTATTAAGAGGGATGCTAGGAGTTTAGACCCTAAACCCTAAATCCTAAACCCTCAACCCTAAATCCTACATCCTAGACCCTAAACCTTTAATCCTAAATCCTAAACCCTAACCCTTTATTGTAGGGTTTATTAAGAGGGATACTAGGAGTTCAGGCGATAGCCTCCCCTTGGACACCCCATCCCTAAACCAGGGGTACTTCCCAAAATTAGGGTTTAGGGTTTAGGGTTCTGGTACCCCTGAATAGCAGGTGCCATAATAGAATCTTGCCGTAATAGAATCGAAAACCAAAAGGGGCCCAGAATTTTGAGAGCAACCCACACTGCTCAGAACCATGAGGCGCAAGCCAGAAGTCCTCCACCCTACATATGCGCTAGAGTCGAAACTCCTCAAAGGGGATTATATAGGGGAGTAGTATGGGGGGTTTTATGGGGGATGCTAGGAGTTCAGACTATAGCTCATCTTATGTGGATGCCAGTAAAAGCTAGTAGCCCAGAGTCTTGGTCTAACTTCCCATACGCTCCCTCAATACTAACCCGAAAGCCACCTCCTACTGCATCACTGACCTCTAAACCTTTATCCCTAAACCCTAAACCACGATCCTTCACAATGAAAGCGCATGCTCCGAGGCTGCAAGCTGAGATAGCCCAGATGGGCTCGAAGATCTCTGACCTCTTGCAAGGCAGGAGAGGTTTCATGTAGGAGCCTAAACTGCAAATACAGCAAATTAATTGAAGTGCGGCTTTGGCATACATTACTATTATACAATACATATAATATAATATAACATTTATATAATATATACATATTTTATGATATATATATATGCTATACATATTATAATCTTGAATGATGAGAGTTTGGTAAGGACTAATTTTCTTGGCGTCTCAGGCTTCTACATTACTGCATGACTGTATCTAAAGAATCAGGTTTCTCCTCACAACCCCCCAAACAGTCCAATTTCCTACCAAACCCTAAACCCTAATTGGGGATTTCAAGCTAGGGATCCGGAATGTGTAGCCACTTCCATGGATGGAACGGTGGGACCAGAGGATTTTACCCTTTCTTGGAGGGGACTTACACGAGAACTGCTCATGTTGAGGGGGAAGTTGTTGCTTTTGGGTTCGGCACCCTAATCATACAGTCCCCCTTAAGTAGATAGAATATGGGGTATATGGGGATCTTATCATAATGTACCCAAAGCCATATTCTATCTATTTGAGGGGGACTACAATCATAAGAGTCCCTGAACCTTCGTTACCGGGCTGTAGGATCGCGTGACTTCAAGATGCACTTGTAGAATGATGCAAATGCCTGAAGAATTACCAATATGGGAGTTTCCCAATATTAGGGCTACCATTTTAGGGGTGCCCATAATAAGGACTATCGTATGTTGGGATCTATATTGGGGTCCCCTTATTTTGGGAAACTACCATATCATTCCCTAACACCTTAATCACTCACTCCTCAGGCAAGCTCCTGAGCTCAAATCCCTAAACATCCCCAAGCCCCAGAGTTACTGGGGCTTAAGAGGGAGTGGGAAGTGGATCCCTGTCACTACCTTCAGACGAGTATTACCCCCCATGTCTGCCCCTAGAAAAATAGCTACAGGGATTCCCCTAAACCCTAAACCCTTAACCCTAAACCTAAACCCTAAACCCTAATTCCCCCACCCAATCTCCTATACCCGAGACCCGCGAGGCACCTCGAGCGTTGACGGCGTGGAGGGTGCCCAAAAAAGTGGGGCCGGTCGCCCAGAGGGATTAGGGATTAGGGTTTAG